AAAAAAAAAAAAAAAAAAAAAAAAAAGGTCGGATAATCAAGCATACAGAGAGTGTTCCTATATATATATATTTTTAACACTTCAAAAGCTTAATAGTTTTAGAAAATAAAATAAACAAACTGTACCATAGCTGTGCCCTTTTTAACTTGTGGACTCGAAAAGGTGGTTGAATGTTTCAATCAAAAGATATTTAAAAACTAAGCTTAGTAATAATTACACGCAAAATAAATGGTAATATTACATGTGAATGACCCAGTGATTCATAAATCATCACTCTCTGCATATCTTGATCCAAAAACAGGTTTTGAACCAAAATGACTTACAAATTCATTGAGACACGAGGAGAAACAAATAAATTAATACCAGAAGGAGCTTGTATAATATTGATTCCACATCTTCTCCAACATAACCTGCCTGAAAAGTAGAGCGTGTGAATTAGAATTCTACTAAGCCAACTGAAAAAAAAAAATGCTGCTTGGTAATTAGAAGTGGAACTATTTTGAAGCAATAAATACGTGGAGATGATTGAGGCTCAAAATTCCTGATATAGAGACAAGGAAAAAAATGTAGAGCTCACCAGTTACTAATCGGTATAGCATACATATTTTTATCAAAAACCAGGCTTTCATTGAAAGTTTATTATTATTATTATTATTATTATTATTATTATTATTTGTGTGTGTGTGTGATGTCATTGGGGGAGATGTGAAAATTGTACTCAAATAATTTCTTTAATTAGTATTATAGGTGGGACTAATTGTGAAAGTATCATTAACTTTTGAATATGTTTTTTATTTTTTTGGGGGGGCGGAAACATATCATCCGTTGATACGATGAAATTACAAGAAATAATCACTTCCTATCGATAAGTTACAAAAAACAATTACATTGAGCTACGAGAGAGAATAAACCATAATTACAAAATGGGGATCAATTTACACCAAGACATAGAAAGATGCACAATTGTCAAGAGTAAAGCTTTGAAGAACTGTTCCTTGTTAAAGATACGAAAATTCTTCTTGGTCCAAATGGACCACAAAAGAGCCCGTATGCCAAGCTAAACGGTGTTTTTTCTCCTTTTTGGAGGGGTGCCAGCAAGCATGGTGGAGAGGAGGTCCCAAATGTCTTTTGGAATGGCAATGTGCCACCCAAACACTTCCAGTAAGTATCCCGAAAGATCTCTGGCCAGAGGACAAGTACTGAATAAGTGATGTGGGATTTAACATTTTTTTACACAAAATACAGCAGTTTAGAGAGATATTCAGCTAGGGGGTTTTTTTTTTTGGGTAGAATCCTTTCCAACTAGAGTCGTGTAATTCCTGTTTTCATAATGAGAACGCAATTTGTGAGCTACCTTTATGATAATTATTGTCAGTGTTGGACTTTCTACTCTTTTATGAACATTTGGGCGTAAATATTAAATGTCAAATATTTGGTCCTTATTGTCTTAATTCTTCTCCTATATAGGAAATCCTAAATTGCACATATTAACATACAATATATTTTTGACCTCTTGAGATTAAAACGGTATCATAGCAGGTAAACCCTACCAGTCCTTAGAAATCCTAAAAAGCCCTAGCTGTCGTTGCCATCAACTGCTACCATCCTCCGTATCATCACCAAAACTCATGGTTGCCTTGGGCTGAATATTGGACAAAACCACTTTCATGCCTCCATTAATCTCATGCCCTTTCAGGCAGTCTATGGATGTACACCCTCTGCTATTTAATGAGGATCGAAAGACAACTAATCTTTTTCTGAAAAGTCAACTTTTGTTGAGAAAAATATGAAAGAATACAAGAGTATCCAAAAAAAAAGGAAAAAAAAAAAAAAGCTAAGCCCACAAAAGGGAGTCCAATTAAAGAAATTGATACCAATTAAGAAGAATAAGACCTAAGGAATAATATCAAAAAGACTTTGTCACGGACGCCCAGAGAGAAACATAGAACCTAACAAGGGACAAAAGTCATAAGGACCACTCACATTCCCTTTGAAGCTAATGGGCAATTGGAACAACAACCTGTGCAGAGAGACATGATGATTTCCACTCTTCAACACCATCTGGTAATTACTCATAATCGAATGAAGAAGTTTGCAAATCAAATGAAGAGGGTGCTGGAATTTATGGTCTAAGACAAAAAATTTCTAAAAATTCATCCATCTTTGACTAAAAGGAGGTGTGAGAAGTTATTTCCAATATACTATGGGTTATATAAGGTGAAGGAGGACAAAGGCCAAGTGGCTTAACGCTTGGAACTTTCAGATGAAGCAGCAATTCATTTTGTGTTCATATTTCACAATTGAAGAAAACAATTGGGGAGGACATTGACGTGAAGTCCTTGCCTACTCTCACAGAGAATTATGAGTTGCTAGCATAACCAAAAGAACTCTTGGCTGGATGTTGGAATGAACATGAAGCTAATTGGGAATGGTTGCTGCAAGGGGGATTCTCAACAGAAGTTGTTTAGTAGGGTGCATTTGTATGGAGTTGGAGAGGGAGTGCAGTATTTGGGAAGGGGTTGGTTGGAAGAATGTTCTATCATCGTTATGTTGGGACTGTGTGTCTGGGAGGGAGGGTTGTCTTTACTTGGGCTGCTACGGTTTGAAAGACATAACAAGATTTTTAGAAATAGTTATAAATCTTTTTGTAATGTCTGGGAAATTGTACAGTATACATCCTCTACTTCTTCACAGGGGATTTTGTAATTTTTCCATTTTCATGATCAACTTAACTAGGATGGGGGGTGTTTCTTATATCCCCTTTTCTTGTATGCTTTCCTGTTTTTCTTGATGAATTGTTCTGTTTAAAATATACATACATATAAAAATAAAATTTAGAAAAGAAAGAAAAAACATTAACAAGGAAAGAGAAAATAACCATCCTGAAAATAAACTTGCCTGCGTTAACGCAGTAGCATCAGCAATGGTGAAGGGTACGTTCACAACACGAGCAAGGGTTTTTGCAAGTAATGTCTTCCCTATCCTTAGAGATTTCATAAATGATTATTGAAAAACCTCATACAAAATCAAGGCTATAGGACACCAATAGGAAAAGCAGAAAAAAATCGATCGTACCTGAGCCTGTAGGACCCATTAGCAACACATTACTCTTTTCCAGTTCCACAATTTCATTGTCATCATTCTCCAGTTCAATCCCCAGCGATCCTTGCCCTGGACTAAATACAAATGTAGACACCAAGTCAAGGAAAAGTACAATCACTAATATCGCAGAAATATCATTCCCTTGGATTAATACTACTTTTTTTTTAAAAAAAATATAGACTATCGCTGTGAACTCCTTAAACATCAGTAAGCATATATAAATGACCTTTCGAAAATGATTGCAAAATGAAAACTAGAGAACTCTCACAAACTAACGTTTTCTGCAATGAGGCATGATATATCCTCTTATGGTGGTTGTATACTGCCACAGAAAGCGCCTGAAATGTTAACATTATATCAATCAAAATGGTAGATCCATGGTAAAATTTATTGGTTGAACAATTCTAAATAACAGTAAACTTCCTCATGGATTATGCCCCGTCCTTTCATCCCAGAGTACACAATTCTTAAGTATTAAAGAGAAAAGAAGAGAAGTTGATTTTCCAATAAGCCATGCAATTAAATTCATAAATCTGAAAGTTCTATTTAAATAAGTGATTGTTCTATCAAAGCCAAACAGCTCAACAAAGAGCTCAAACGACACAAAATCCAAATGGTCTTTTAATAACTTCCAAAATTGAAAAATCACACCCTTGCCTTTGGAAAGAGGAAGCCACAACATCAGAAGGAAAGAGAACTAGAGAATAAGACTCCTAAGTTATACCAGCAAGTATAGAGATGATAGTAATGAGTGGTTTTCCAAATCCTGAACGAGCAGCAAGTAGCATGCCCAGAATTCCCTTATCACAACTTTTAGGTTCAAAAGCCTCATCCCGTCAATGTTTCTGGAACCAGTGTTTGAGAAAAACAAAAGCAATTATCTAAGAAGTTTTTTTTTTTTTCTTTTTTTTTTCTTAAGGCTGTAGGAACTCTCATTCAGTCCGTCAGTATTGGGTGGGATCCCTACCCATTCCAAATCATTGTTTATGGTCCCCTTTACAATTCAAAGTAAGCTGGAGAAGATCATGAGGAATTTCTTTAGGAGGGTGTGGAGATACCCCGTGCTTCTCACTAGGTCAGATAGGAAATTGATTTGAAGCTGAGAAGAGTAAGGCAGTTTGGGTATAGCTAATTTGAGAATTCATAATGAGGCCATCCTAACTAAGTGGTTGAAACATTTTCCCTAGAGCCTGAGACTTTATGCTATCATATCATTGCAAGCAAATATGGAGCTCTTCCGTCCTAATGTATCTCATTTTGTGGGGCTAAAAACACAAACATGAATCCTTGGACGGTCATCTCATCTCTTCTAGTTTTAATTCTTTTTCTAAATGTGACATTTTTAATTGGGGTTGACTTAGGTGCTCATTTTTGGGAGGATTTTTGGTTATGCGAGTCATTTTTCTGTCTCCTATTCCCTATCATCCTTCGAATCTGATTCTGTTGCATGTCTTCTACCTTCATCAAGGGACTCCTTTTCCTTAACTTTGTTGTTTTCCATACTTCCAAGGAAATTTTCAATGTTCTCTTTAAGAGTATCGTTTTCACCCCAGCTCTAGCGATTATTGTTTCCGGGATACTATTGGCGTTTTCTAACCTCCTCAGCCATTCCTCTGTTAGAATAATTCTTTTTACAATCACCCTTCCCTTCATCATTACCAATTGGAGTCTTTTTATAACTCCATGCTTTCGTACGACCAGTAGTCCCACATTTGCAGTTTGGTTCTATCAATTAAATTTTTAGTTTCTAACCAAAACATAAAAGAAAAGCCACGAAAATCTTGTAGAATCTGCAGAAAATACTTGTGAAAAAGGTTATAAGAAGCACAGATAATTATCAAATCACCCGAATCCAACCTTCTTGGCTTTTTCTTGTCCAACGATGAACTTGTCCAGAGCCTCAGAAATTTCCTTGGGAGTTAGCAACTGCCTTCCTGAATTGGCCTCGTTCTTGGGAACACCGTTACTTTCCACCAAACCCAAGCTACCATGGCCACCGCCACAGCTACCTTTCCACCGTGGAGGCAACGCAGAATCATCAGCAGAATTGGCGCCAATATCTCCTTTCGAAGGTTGACACGATTCATTTTCCACAATGTTATCCAAGTCCCTGGCGCCCTTAACCCTACCAATCTCAATAAAAGTACCCTGTAATGGAACCAACTTGAAGGGTCTAAAATAGAATGCAGTTTTGCAATTGGGGCAGAGATTTAGGGCATGATAGACGCCTGTCTCCCGACCCGTAATGGACAAGGGACGATTGGAGAAGATGACAGGCATTTGCTTGGAGCACCTTGGACAATTGACATCAGCCCTAATGTAATCATAGTCGGAGGCCCCTTTCCAACTGTGGCGCTTCTGAGAAAACCGAAGGATGAATCCAGCGGAGCGGGCGGCGGCGTGGGGTTCTAGAGAGGGTTTAGACGGAAGTGGAGTTAAGAAGCGGTGGTGGAACAGCGAATCAGTGGTTGTGATACTTCTGATCGATGTGAATAGCCTGATGAATTTGGTGTTCTTAACTCTGAATCGTGGAATCATAGCGGCTTTTCGAGTAATCTGACCGGATGATTGAACGGCTTCGAAGTTCTTGTGGAATTATGAAAGAGGAGAATGAGTAGGCAGGCGAAGTTGCCGTCAAGAGCTCACAACAGTGGCACCTGTTGCACTGTGTTATATTTTCTCAAGAAATTAAAATATAAAACGCTTTTTTGGATGAAGCTAGAATGTCAACTTTAAAAGAAACTTTTCAAAACTTTTTTGATGGGTGAAATTCCTATTTTCTCCTTCTCTAGATCGGCTACAATCATCTACTATTCCCTCATTCCACCGTAGTTTGAGCATCAATGACCCATTTTAACACGTCTTCATTGTCGATCATCTAGGTCTCGAAAAGATCGAATGAAATACCTTTCAATGTGTAGGTCTCAAAAAGTTATACGACATCTAAAAAAAAATTATCAAATTTGATGAACTGAACTCAAAATTATGATCTCTCAAAATTTAAACTTAAATCGTTTTCAATTTTTAAGAGTACGGGAGGTTAAGGTTCCTTGCATTTTTGTTCGCTGTATAAGAATGGTAGTAAAAAAATACAAAATATATATATATATAAATGGGTGATCGTTTAGCTACAATGGAGTCGAATTGAGAGAGATACGATCAAAATAAAATTGCACATTACGATCGTGTGCAGTGTGTCACAATCCTACTTTCTAGGCAGCGGACTAGTGATTGTGCAGCGCTTGTTCAGCGAGCAAGTTAGCCGTGTGAAATTCTGACATATGGTCAAGTCTCGGGCCACATTTTGTGAGCAAAAGTTTTTAGAAAATCGTTGGAACCAAGTTGAAATTAAGCATTGTGAAAGTCAATTGCATTGAAAACATGTGTGTAAGAGAGATCACAATACTTGGTTGGGGGAAGTTTGATGACTATTTGGTCTCCCTATAGTACATTTTGAGATGATACATATATGACAAATAGAAAATACAACAGTAAAGCAATACAACATGAAAACAAATAAAGGGTTTAGCATGGCATGGGCGTATGACCATGGGCACCACGTCTTGGACAAGCATGATCGTGGCATCCTCCCACATCTAATTGATTGGCGTCCTACCAACCGGCTATCTTCAAACTCAATAATGTGGATAGCAGTAGAGTCTAGGTCTCTGAAGTGCTCCCAACTCATTTCCTCTACTTTCATTTGACAAGGAATTCTCGAATCTTCCGTACAGGTTTTCCAACTTTCTTAACTCTGTCCGCTAGGATTGCTTGACCTCCTTGGTGTCCTGCTTTGGGTCAATTTTAGATATGATGATCAAGTTTCAATTGTCGTCATCTGGATCGAGGTAGTAAGGTTTTAGGTTGCTCACATGAATTACTGAGTGGATTTTCATGCATGTGGGCAATGCCACCCTGTAAGATGTAGACCCGATATTCTTGAGAACTTCGACCGGTTTTTCGTACTTTCTGACAAGTCTGGTCCTTTCGATTGCAGAATTTGATTTGTTCTCACCTCAATTTTTAAGACTTGATCTCCACTCGAAATTGGAGTGGGGAGCGACACTTCCTGTCAACCCACTTCATGTGTTTGGAAGCTTTCTCTAAGTATGCTCAGGCTATATTTGTTGTCTACTTCCATTCCGTTGTGAAATTTTCAGCTTGAGAATTCTTCCCTACATATGGGTGGTCAATAATATGGGGCAGGGTTTGTTGCCGTTCACTTATAATTTCAAAGGGACTCTTCACAATAGACAAAATAGTTGGTAGTTAAAACATAATTGAGTTACATCTAGTAGTTGTACCCAATTCTTCTAACGAGCGTCAACAAAGTGACGCAAGTACTCTTTGAGCAAGTAGTTGAATCGTTTTGTTTGTTTTTCAGTCTGAGGGTGATAACTTAAGGAGATATTTAAGGTCGTCCCCACGAACGTGAATAACTCCATCCAAAATGTTCCAATGAAACTATCGTCTCTATTACTAATTATGCTCGACGGAATGCTCCACAAATTCACAATATGTTTAAAGTATAGTTGGGTTGTTGACTCGATCGAGCATATTTTGGGTGTAGGAAAGAACGTGGCATATTTTCGAGAATCGATCTATGATAACCAAGATGGCTTCATGTTCGCCTACTTTCGAGAGGTGTGTTATAAAGTCCAGTGACACACTTTCCTAGGGTCTTGTCGATACTAACAGAAGTTCAAGGAGTTCTGAGACCTTGGCCTTCTCGACTTTATCTTGTTGGCAAATGAGGCACTGTTGAATACAACTCTCTATGGAAAACACTCGCACTCTTATTAAGATCAATCAAGAAAAGAATACAAGACACTTTGTAGAATACTACTCTTTATATTGCTTGGGATGAAAACTAGGTAGGGTGGAGGGGTATTTATAATATAGCCTACGGAATCTAGACCTCACAAATCTAAATCTTTTTCCTAAAGTATCTCGATCTCTTTCCTAAAATATCTAGGTATCTTTTCTAAAATCTAGTACAATTATTGGGCTAGTGATGATATTTTAACAGACACGTCTTGTATACTACATTATGATGTTTCACATGTTTGGCCAAAAGTACCCTTTCTTGACCAAGACGTAAGTTTGATCCCATCCAGGGTGTCCAACCCATAAAGTATCATGACATTTCTAAATGAGCTTCTTCCTTAGTTCTCCCGCTCTTGAGACATACAATTTGTTTACTTTTGTTAGTAGAAGGTCTCTTCGCCCCAAAACTATCTAGTCTTCCCGATTTTGGCTAGATCAACCACAACTTTGGCCTAAGGGTCTTTATGCAAGTTCTCTTATGATGTCGCGCAACAACCCATCAATTTTACTAGAATGAACATGGGCTAGCATGCACAGGGCTGCATGTTCGCCCTTCCAACTTAGTACGTCAGCAGCTTGATTACTTTTTCCTACTTTATGTTCCAACTTAAAGTTGAACTTCACTAATGATTCTTATCACTAGGCTTGCTTTGGTGTTAACTTCAGTTGGTTAAAAAAGTGGTAAATAGCATTGTTGTCTGTCCTCACCACAGAGTGGGACCCCAACCGATATTGTCTTTAGACTCTAATAGAGACAATGGATGACAACGAGCATTTCTTTTTTGGAGACCATGTATCTCCTTTCTGAATTGTTGAGCTTCTGATTTTCATAGGCAATGTGGCGACCTTCTTGGATAAGGACACCCCAAGGACAAAGTCAGATACATCCGTCTCTACTTCGAAAGGCTTAGAGATGTCTACCAAGTCGAGAACTGTTGGGTTTTATGTCTTAAAACTCATAGTTTGTAAACAAAAACATATTTTATTTTCAATAAAGTTATTATTGTTGTTTATTCAGTAAATATTGTTATTGAATAAAGTAAACTTTACGATTATTAATCTAAATTCAATAAACTAAGAACACTCTGACTATTTTGGAAAAACACCATCATTATGGAAACGTACACGTCAAACTGGTGCCTGTTGTTGCACCGGGGGGGCGTTTCTGATCTAGTTTAGTTATTGAGACAATTGAAAAAAGTATGATTACTTGAACTATATGTAGAGATATAAGAGTGGATCAAGTTCAAGTATATAGTCAAAATGATCTATAGTACAGGGATAAGGTTGAGTATCTTATCCTTGGGACACTATGGATGCGGCCCACTTCTGTATATGACATAAACAATGTGATCACTAAATTGTACATGCGGAGACATGTGAGTGGGGGCGTCCTATGCAATGAGTATTGCATAAGATCGGACCATGAAGAAAATCACTCTCACTTTATAATGTCGCTTACTGCTGAGATTGATTTTCTTTTCATTCGATGACTTAGGTAACTCGATTTTAATCCTGAGCTAACCATGAACTTCTGTTTATTCGGAATTATTCTTAGATTTGCATGGGTGAGAGTGACTCAAGTTCACCGACTCAATAGGCCTCTCATTTCAGGGGTAAGACTGGGTAAATGGCTGGGGACGTGGGGTGCAAGATGGAATTCACTCCTACTCACTTTTAGGGATAAAAGAGAGGTAGTTCCCTTAAGTATGACTCCAAGTCTTCAACAAGGGGCCCCACCTCTCATTGACTTGAGAGGGATTCGTACTGGTTGGACCACAAACCATTATAGGATCAGTGAGACATAAAGAACAAAAAGTAACTTCTGAGGTAAAACGGTGAATTGACTCAACTCTAGTTACGAACAACCTGTGAATGATTGACTTAATAATCATGGTTATATCAAATGGACAAAAATATATCTAGAGTGAGGGGAGTGCAACTACTAGGCTATAGTGGAATGTCCTAGTAGTTAACGAATGTTGGTTAACAAGGTTAATGAGTTTAACCGGTTAATCTTGAATTGTTGGAGCCCATGATCTATTGGTCCATTAGGTCCCTCTGCTAGCTCATATCGAACTAAACCATAGAATAGTTGACGAGTGAGTTCGAAGTGTTCAAATTCAAATTAGGGAGAATGCGCTACATATATACGATATATTTAACCTCATTTTTGTTTTATTTACGAATTAAACAAAAAGAGAGAATATGAGATATTTAAATAAGATTTAAATATCTTAATCAAATATGTGTCTAAATTCATTAGGATTGACATTTGAATTAATTTTAAATATTAATTAAATAGTTTAATTAATCCTTTAATATTACTTTAATTTGAAATTAATAATTCAAATTGATTGTTGAATCAAAATGAAGAAAGTCAAAATGTAGACTTTATTTCATGGAAAAATCCATGTTTGAGTTGGTGGAATTTTGAAGTGTCAAAATTTGGTTTAACGAAACTTGCATGCTTGTAAGATAAACCCCAAAAAATTTAGTGGAATTTTGAGTGTCAAAATTTGGTGAACTCAAACTTCCATGCTTGCCCCATAATCCCAAACATTTGAGTGGAATTTTGAGTGTCAAAATTTGGTTATCTCAAATTTGCATGAACATGCAGACATGACTATAAATAGAGTGATCATGATACATGGAAGATCTCCAAAAAAAAAACCTTGAAAAAAACATCTCACAAACTCTCTCTTCATATATACTAAATCTCTCCCAAGTTTAGTCACTCACCGGATTCCACAATCTCGTTCTAAAGTCGGAGAATAGTGGAGAAGAGACTAGTGGTGTTCGAAACCGGTTCGTGAGAAAAAAGAAACTTGAGTGGCAAAAGGTTAGTATTCAAACTCATTTA